TTTAGGGTTTGGGGTCTGGTACGGAAATCGCGACACGAGAAGTATCGATAAGAATGATTCCCCCTTGGTAGCCGAACTAGAGTATACCCCAAAAACCTTGTGTAAGTGTTCTGGTACGAACCTGAGGAGGAATTGTCCCATTAAGTAGAACCCTGCTTGCTAGGTCGGATACGCCTCTAAGTATCTCAGATAGACTGCTACTTGGAGGAGCTGTCAAGACGGAATACATTGCTTTGGGGCGTGCTGAGGCAATGCATGTTCTTAAGTCGCAAAACATTCGGAAGAGATCTGCGTATCTAAACCACCAACAGAAGCTAACAGCTTACCATAGAAGCCTGAGTAATTACCAATGTTACTCTGAGGGTTCCTTAATCTAAATACATTATAAAGGAGCCAAAAACCTTATTCTAATAATTAAGGCCCCTATATTAAACCACCAACAGAAGCCAACGGTTTAGGCTCTGGTGTTGCCATCATGCCCACATACCCGACTCAAGAAGAGCCGGCACAAGCCCCAAAGCTTACCTGTACTTTTTTGGGGTTTCTTATTAAGGTTTCTTTTGATAAGTCCTTCAAAAGATAGATTATCCGGGGTTAAGGTAGAGTTTAAGAAGGTTCGAGTTTGGGTCTGCGCCAGGCGATCATCATTTGCCCGATCTTGACGGCAGCTCGGCGATGACGCTGCTGTTGGCGGTTACTGATGGCCGAAGGCTGTCACGTTCGATGACAACCATGGACCATGAAGCATATAGCTCTGCCGGTGGCACACACCTACATAGTGGACAAGGGTCATAATGCGGGCCGACGACGAGGCTGATAATGATCACGAAGACAGAAGATGATGACGGTGATGATGATGGTGACGACGAAGATGACGCTGACAAAAAGTCAGTATTGCGGGTGTGGCGATTGCTCTTCAACTATCACAGTATCCTGGCTGTGTGTTTCAAAATTAGTGTGCTTGGCGACTTCTGTCGGTGTAGTAAATTTAATTTAAAGGCATTTGCGAACGGGCTTCGGACACATTATGAGCATCGGAATAGTTCATAAGTATTATTCCATATATAATGTGCCTCATAAGGGTCTGACTCATTAATAATATTCAACAGTACGCCCTTATGGTCTCTGTATGACTAAACGAGAATACTACGAGAGTATCCCCCAGGCCCTATTCTAGTTATATGGGACAGCTGGACTATACCCTTCAGGGAGAGATGTTTAGTTGTTTTTTCGGGGTGGAGTCTGGTTTTCAGTTCACACTTTCCAAGGTTTGTGATTAATGCAGGGGCCTCAATAATTACCTATACTATTGTGGGGGTTCCTTATTCATTATAATTATAGTATACTGGGCCCCTAAATCCTATTCTAATTATTAAGGCCCCTATATTGTAAGTTTAGAGTAGGCCGCAAGTTGATACCTGAACCTCTTGTACTCTACGCGGGCGAAGACACACGAAGAACGCACACCACACGCACACCTAAACCCTAAACCCTGAACCCTGAACCCTAAACCCTAAACCCTAAACCCTACTCTGATGCGAAGCTGTTCATTTGCCGGAGAGAGTCTTCCAAGACTTTTGCCCTGCCCATATAGGCTCCCTAGTAGTTCCCTCTTGGGATTATGTTTAGGATCCTGTGACGTAATCCTAAAAAGGGCACTACTAAGGAGCCTATGGGTACAGCATATACGTACCCTGAACCTTAATTAATTTCTGAAGACCGGAGATTAGATACCGCAGAAGTTGAAAAACTTCCACATATACATTGTAATGCACCTAAAAACCCGATGATCCCTTACTGTATACTCTTCGAAGTTGTGTGAGATATTAAGGTCCCCTCTTACTGTTCACCTGACGCAAACACGAGGAGATCTTGCCTGGTGGAGCTGGAACGGCCTTGACTTTCGGCTGAGGGTTTAGGATTCAAGGGTTTAGGGTAACGCCCTAAACCCCTAAACCCTAAACCCTCAACCCTGAACCCCTAAACCCCTAAACCCTGAACCGCTGAACCCCTGAACCCCTAAACCCTGAACTCCTAAACCCCTAAGCCCTCAAACCGTAAGCCCCGTTTAGGGGTTTACGGGTTTGTTTAAGTTTATAGGCTTTCAGGCTGGGGTCTGAAGGGTTCATGAAGATGCACAAGGTTTAGGGTGAAGGACGTAGGGTTCAGAATTGAGAGTTCAGGTGTGCAAGTGCTTTAGGGTTTAGGGTTTAGGGTTTAGGGCAAGTGCTTTAAACTATCATAACCCAGTTTTTGTAGGTTCTCAGTATTAAACACCGATATATAGAGTATATAGGGACCCGACAGAAAGGCAGGTGTGCGTAATTCAAGGCGGCATGTGCTACTCCGCTCCGAGCCTTATTGCGAGCCTTCCTCCCTTGAGCGACAGGTATGACGACGTAGAACCCAAAACCCTATAAAGCACATGCAGAAATGCTAAACTGTCTCCCTAAACCCTGAACCCTACATCCTAAACCCTAAACTCTAAACCCTGAACCCCAAGTGGCCGGGAAATGTGGGTCCTGCTACGGCCGGTGTCTTGGGTGCGACACCCTGTAAGCCTGTATGGTCGGACGTGCATGGAAGTCTCGGTTGCTGAATGACATTGCTTCTAAGCCCCAAACCCTAGAACCCTAAAGCAACCCTAAAAACCATAAAATCCAAACCCGAAAACCCTAAAAGCCTTAAAAGACCTAAAGCGGTTCCTAAACCCAGACCTGGACCCCCTTGAGTATGTAGAATAATCGCCTTTCATAGGTGTTGGGCCATTATTCGAGCTACTTTTGGGGGTTTTGGGTTTAGGTTTTATTTAGGGTTTGTGGGTTTTGGGTTTAGGTTTTATTTAGGGTTTGGGGGTTCGGGTTTAGGGTTTGGGGGTTTAGGGAAGCCCGAAAACCTCCCCAAGGAAGCTGGCCTCTCACTTCGCTCTGTCGGCGCTTCTCGCAGCAGCGGGCGAAGAAGGTCGGAGCCACTCGCAGCTCTGCGCCGAGGCGCAGGCAGGTTGCGACTGCTAAGAGACCTTAGGGTTAGGGTTTGGCTGTAGGGTTTAGGGTCTAGGGTATTTAGGGTTCAGGGTTTAGGGGTTTTCAGGGTTTTGGCCGGTCGGTGCTGATGGGCTCGTTTTGAAGACCCTTCCGGGTTCTTCCGAGGGTTTAGAGCCTCAGGGTTCTAGGGTTAATTAGGGTTAGGTGTTTAGGCTGAGATTGCGAAGCGTCTTCAGGGAGGGTTCTGCAAGGGTGCTACTACAGAAAGGTCTGACTACTTTGTGGCAGTAGCCCCTTACAGTCCGGGCTTCGGCTGTACAAAAAAATAAAGCAGTGGGATTTGTGAAAGCTCTAATTATTGCAGGGCTTAGGTTTGTTGGCTTTGAGGCACTGGACATCCGGTGCTTTCCAGAGTACGAGATCTGCTGCGAAGCTGGCGACATCTTGTTGCCGGGCCAACCCCTACGACCTCACCCCTGAGCCAGTTCGTTGAAGCACATCATTCTGCGAGGGTCCATTTGGGATTTCGGGTTTAGGGTTTGGGGTTTCGGGTTTAGGGTTTGACGGGAGGGTGTGGGCTTTGGGTTTGAGGGTTTAGGTTTTGGGGTGTAGGGTTCTTGGGGTTTAGGGTTTCGGGTTTGGGGTTTCGGGAGACTCTCTGGTTCTCCTGGGTTCCCGAGGTAAGCAATCTAGTCTGCAAAGGCTTGCTCCAAGCCTTACCTTGACCCTAAAGAACTCACCTTTTCAGGGCTTCTTATTATGATGTCATATGATTTTCTTATATTATAAGTCCTTAAACAGGCAGGTTATTCGGGGCTAAGGTAGGCCCTACATGTGGATTCAGATCTGGGATATGGAGCTGCTGGCTGAGCAGCATGAACCGTTGTAGTCAACCACCTGTTCTGCTCTGGAGTTCTTTGTCATTTCAAGGATCAAACAAGGAGGCCCCAATTCGGAGAACTGTCCACATGTCGAACCCCTGTCAGCTCCATGCAGGATGCAGAGTAGGCATCGAAGTAGGCATCAACAGTCAGGTTGGCATTGAGCTGCGCCCGCATTCAGAACTGTTGAAATTCTTGCGGGAGGAGGGGTTTTTAGGGCTTACCTTAACCCCAAATATCCAAACTTTATAAGGACCCGTATGAGGAAATCAGAATAAGGAACCCTAACAACAAAGAAAAGGTAGGTTCTTTAGGGTCAAGGTAGGGTTTTGAGGGGACCTTGTTTGTGGTCTTGTGCAGATTGTTGGTGCAGGCATCTGGGATGAGGATTCTGAGCCCGACGTCTTTAGCATTGGTGTAGGTTTAGGGTTTAGGAGTTTGGGTTTAGAGGTCTAGGGTCTAGGGGTTTTGGGTTTAGGAGTTAAGTTAAGGTTAAGAGGTTTAGGGGTTTTGGGTTTAGGGGCTTAGGTTGAGGGTTTAGGGTTTAGGGGTTTAGGGGTTCAGGATTTAGGGGTTTTGGGTTTTGGGGGGTTTAGGGCTCTGGGGGTTTAGGGTTTAGAGCAAGCCAGGACCTTCCTGGTAACCTCAAGTAGGGTTTAGGGGTTCAGGGTTTTGGGGTTTAGGGTTTAGGGTTTAGGGTTCACTAAGTAGGGGCATAGGGTCCCAAATAAAAAGGGTGTCTCGGGTCTAATATCTCAGAGGGTGGATGGAGGGTCTAGGTGCCTTCCTGAAACCTTAATGCTTGCATGTTTACAACAAAAGTTCTTGTCGTATATATATATATATATATACATATAGAGTCACTAAGTAGTAGGCCATCTCAAATTGATGTTCGAAGCTGTACACCCATCATCTGCAAATATTTGTAGATGCTCAGCAGTTGGTCCTATAGATCTTTCCTTTCCAGCCCTAGGGACGGTTACAGTAATCTAGACCTTTAACCCGTAAACTTAATAAACCCACAAGCTTTAAGCCCCTGAATCCCCAGAACCCCAAATCCCCGCACCAAAGTTACTTCATCCCCACCCTAACCCTAAACCCTAAACCCTAAACCCCCAAGAATCCCTCACCGAAGGCTACTTCATCCCCACCTGGCGCACAGCAGCACCACGAACGTTCGCCTCGGCGCCGGGGTCCGGCTGGCCTTGACAAAGCGAGCCTACTGGGTTTCAGGACGGGAGATGCCCTAAACCCTACACTCTAAACCCTAAACCCTAAACCCTAAACTCTAAACCCTAAACCCTAAACCCTAAACCGTGACAAAGCGAGCCTACTGGGTTTCAGGACGGGAGATGAGGGCTAGGTCTCCCAGTGCGCCCGTTTTCTCTTTGTTTTTGAAGTCTTTAGGTCCCGTATTAAAGGTACCCAAGACCAAAAAGGGAGCCCTTTTTAACTTAGATAGCCAATAAGAGAACTTGAAACTTTTTGGCCTTATCTATTAGGTCTATCCTGAAAAGTTTGAACTTTTTAGGCCTGGTTGTTGAAGAAGCGAGTTAATCCTAGGTTACGAGGCATCCTAGTAGGGTTTAGCTGAAGCGTCCAGTCTCGTGATAAGGAGGTTGTTTATCTCAATCCTAGGCCCTGCTAAACATGCAGCCCCCCCCCCAACAAAAACAAAAACTAAGCCATATAAGCACTAAAGACCCTAAGCCCTAACCCTAAACCCTCATTACATTAAATCCTTAAGTTAAGCTCAACCCCTTTATCACGCTGGATCTTCATTATCGCCATCCGGATCGCCGGGGCAGACGTCTTGTTGGTTTAGGGTTTAGGGGTCTAGGGTCTAGGTTCTAGTTTCTTTACACGACTTGGTAGGGGTCGAAATAAGCAGAAGAGGGGGCTGGGACTAAAGTGCAGGGTTGATCCGTCTTTTGAAATGTTTCAAACGAGCTTGAGCTTCGTCTGTTTAGGGTTTAGGTTTTAGGGTTGAGGGTCAGTGCTCCGAACAGAGCAAAACAGAGTTGAGGAAGTGCCTTCCTTGTTGTCTGTATGTTGGGCCTTCGAGGGATTGGGCATTGGGGCCTCTTCCCAAGCTTTCGTCCCAAACTCGAAGGCGTCGAAGGCCAAGACCGAAACCCAGAGCTAAGAGAACCCTTCGAGAAATCCTTAAAGGCACCCTACCCATAGGCCCCATACTAGTTCCTTTTTGGGATTACCTTATAGGATTCTAAATATGAGCCCCAAAAGGAACGACTATGGGGTCTATGGGTACACAACCCCTTAAACATGCCCTGAAGTAGACACCCTGAGCTCAAACCCTAAACCCCATAGACCTTAACCCTGATGGCCCCTGAAGTACCGCCATTGTCCTCTCCCGTGCTGTGGCCGATGTTTTGGGCTGCAGCCGGGATCAACGCCAGGCGAGGCAGATCTGGACGTCGGTTCTTCACTCTTGCGTTTATACAGGGTTTTCTTGGCTGTTATCAGGGCTAATAGGGAGTATACATGGAACCATTCAATCTCAACCCCTAAAATCCCTAAACCTCCGAATACAACTGAAAAGCCCAGCACCGGACCGCGAAATGTCAAAAGGATACCGCCCCTAAAGATCGCAGGTACGTAAGATGGTTGAGGGTTCAGGGATCAGGGCTTTAGGGTAAGGGTTTAGGGTTTAGAGTTTAGGGTTTATAGGGTTCAGGGGTACAGTTGATGCTACGTTTCGGGTGTGAGGGTCCTATATTCCCAGCTCACCAATACCCAACCTTTCAACTTTCATGCTCACGGCTGCTACGAACCCGACTAAACACCTTACACAACCCCGTAGGACCCTCATCAACGCCCCAGCCTTTGAAATGCAACTCGACTAATAAACTTCTTGTTGGAGGCGACCCAAGAAAGAGACCCAGCTGGTGAAGCTCGCCGAGCGCGCCGTCCACGCAGAAGCGGACGCCCGCGTGTTCGTCTGGGGCGAGCTGCGGCGCGACTTCAAATCCGAGGTGCTGGGTGCGTCTTTCGTGTTCAGGGTTTAGGGCCTTGCCTACTTCTCCCGCAAGAGCTGTGCGTTGATGTCTTTGCTTGAGCATACTGGAGCAGAATTGATGTCAAGCGCAACTTCTGCCGGTCTTCCGGAAGATTGACGCCATGACTGTGCTTAACAGTGGTGCGAGGCAGTTGAGGGTTACCATAATAAGGAATCAGCAGGGGCTGTTAGTACGGATCCTACTGCTCATCCTAGATACCCTTAGCACCAAAATCGCCCAAAAGCCTTTCATAACAGGGGTCTTTGGGTCCAAAATCCTCTAAATATGAGTCGAGGGTAAGGGATTGATTTAGTGGTTCCTCTTCGCATGATTCCCCTAAACCCTAAAAACTACGGCTCAAGCATGGGCGAAGACAGCTCGTCGATTTACTTGTGGTATCACGGGGGGCGGCTCGTGAGGACGATGAAGCTCTCACGCATCCTGGGCAGACAAGCCAGCTCCCGTGAGCAACGTGAATCAGACAACCTCGATCCACCAGGTGATGCTGATGATGAAGAAGGGTCGGATCTCGAAGATGAGGACCTGCGAAAGTTCCCACCGTCGTGGCATTGGAGCCTTGTGGAGCCTGACGACACGGCCCTTGCTGCAGTAGACGAAGCTGGAGTGAGTTCTCATGAGCGGGATTTTGTGGCCAAGCAGTACACCCGCATAGCTGAGGTTGACAGCCTGTTGGCTTCGTCCTACCTGAAGCTATTTGACTACTCCGTGGACCAGACAGAATGTGCAGAAGCTCTACGTCTTCTGAGGGACTCAGCGAAGTCTGATCACATCACGACAAAGCATTGTGCCCTGGCTACGGCCACGGCAACCGTGAATGTGCCAGCAAAACCCAAGAAAGAAGAGGTCAATCGCATGGCTAGCCTGATCTGTGCTCGATCCGACCAGGGAAAAGGTCCGCCCCACACCAAGAAGGGAGCTGTGCTTCCATTCGAGCAAGGTGCGGTGAAACGGGCTCCGGCACCGAATTACAGGATGGCCAGGGTCGACACAACGTCGATGCACCAACTGACATTCGGAACGCTGGGACGTGGCGAGCTGCACCTGGCGGTCGAGCAAGCCATGCTGGAAGGCGTCCGACGTTCCGCCGGGACGTTAGAAGGCGCTGTTGCCAGGCACAACTTGGCCTCAGGCTTGTCTGTGTGGTCTGAACTCTTTGAGGAGCATGAGTTTGCCAACTGGGAGAATCCGCGCTCTGGGCACTATGTGAAGTACGGAACAAAGAGTAACGAGCTTGTTGATTACCTGCTGTACAACCACTTTCACTTGGACAAGTCCCAAAGCTACGTGCTTCAGATTCCGGATTCAGCGGAGATCTTCGAGGATCTTCATGTTCCCGAGATCCAACCTGGTTCGTCACCTGGGCCTCTGCACCGGGCCTTGGGTCATACCACTAACCGCGGGGCAGTGGAAGACCCTGGGTTCAAAATGCTCACAAAGGCGTTCCTTGAGCAAATATGCAAATGTGATAACCCCGACACGCTGTACGCGTACACGTACAAAGGCACTGGGGTGTTCACGACCTACACCAAGAGGAAGTTCGATTGCTACTCTGATCGCACACATGATGGAACGTTTAGCAGGAATGATTGTGTGCTCGCTCAAGCGCCCGCCGCATGAGCCAAGAACGAGTCCTCCCCTTACGGCCTCGTCGTACAGAGAGCACGCGGCACTAAGCAGGCGCTGGCGAGGGCACATTTCTCTGGTTGTGCAAGCAGCCCTTCAACAAGCAGATCGTCGGGACGAACTTGCAGTTGAAAATCTTCGACAACGGGAAGAACACCGACGGAATCTCGAAAACTTACGGGGGCTCGAAGCCATGCGACAGCCCCTTCCCTCAGGCCCGGCCGCCAACCTGGGAGTCACAGTTGCGAGACCCCTGAAAACTTACGAGGGCTCGAAGCTATGCGACAGCCCCTTCCCTCAGGCCCGGCCGCCAACCTGGGAGTCACAGTTGCGAGACGCCCCCTTGGGACGCAAGCAGGCCACAAGCGAACATTCTCTCAGCTGCAGCAGCAAGCTATGACACAACTGAGCAGCTCGGGGGCGTCGTCGTCGCATGAGATTCCCCCTCGTCTTCTACCGCGTGGCAACCTGGGGGCGTGCGCTGCTCGTCCGAATCCCTCCGGGATGTGCTCCACATGGGGAGATGTACCAACACCAGCTACTCCCACAGCTACGGAGGTGACCCCTGTCCCCACGACACCTTACCTTATCCCGCCGGAGCCTACGCCGAACCATGGGCTAGTGACGCCGTTCGATGAGAATGGACTACCCAAGCCTATCACCATACCCCCTGTGCCGGAATGGAGCCCAGAAGAGACTCCACAGTATGCCAATGTCCCTGATGTCGACACGGTGATCGCGGACATCATGGCCACCGCGACCACGCCAACTACCACTGGTGTGATTAGTCCGATCGCCCAGCATGGTTCCGGGGAGACTTCATGGACCTCATCTCCTACCTGCTCAACCACAATGGCTGGAGCGTTGCCACAGACATCGACTACGACGATCTTCTCCGAGTATATCGACGGCGCTTCAGATGCACAACCGGGCAGCTTGCCTGCCCTGGAGATGCCTCCTACCACCACCACGACGACCACCCTGAGGGAGGAGGTGACAGGAGGGGGAAATGATGAGCAAACCTTGCAGGAAGACCCTCTGGGTGAGATAGGGTGGGAGATCAATGAAGCGGCCACTGATGAACTCAGAGAAGAAGAGCAACAAGAGGTGGATGTGGAGGTTGAGGCTGGCGCTGAGGACCTATATGACACTGGGGGTGGCGTTGGTTCCTTCGAGGATGATCTTCCCCACCTTACACCTCGCGAACAGCTGGTAGCAGACTACATAGTCCGCATGGTCGTGGCAGAAGTCTACCACCTCCTGCGTGGCAATGGAGTCATTCCGGGACCAGTCGCGGCTCGCAGGCCGATACCACCATGGCGGGTGAACGCAAGGCCCTCTGCTCGTCCTTACGAGCCACCGAGGCCTACTGTACTACCCGGAGGAGATGGTTGGACTTTTCAAGACACCTGGGATGCAATCCGACTACAACGGGGCCTGAGGGGTGAGGAGCCCACGTTCCGAGAACGGCACTTGTGGGGTATCAGCCTTGCAGGTGAAGTAGGGGGACTTGGGCGTACAGAGATACCGTCTGAGGGTACCGCGCAAGATACTATGACAGCCTTTGCCCCGACGATTCCTGACACTGAGGCCGCCTTTCGAGACTCTCAAGCTGCAGGGGTGACTCATGATGCAGACCCTGGAACTTCGGGGGAGGTTGTGGATGCAGAGACCCGTGATGAGACGGATGGCACCATAGAGGAGACAACGACTACCACGACAATGGGATGGATGGATATGCCTCCTACCACGACGACTACGTCAGAGGGAGCTCTTCCGCCCTCGTCTCCTACTACTGGCACAGGGACTGCCTTCGCAGGCGCTCTGCCAACGGCAGGGTCCGAGCCACTTCTGGGACGTGACGAACTTTTGGCTCAGCGAAACTCCTACTTACTACTGCGTGACCTCCTGGCCATCTTGGAAGCAATGGATGCAGTGATCGATAGAACGCAGGAAGGGTCTGGACATGCGACACAGCCACCTGCTTCAACTTCCACTCTTCCGTCCTCTACCTCTCCGGCCTCCTTGTCAGTACCACTACCAGTTCCTCCAACAGCTCCACATGATTCCTATGATGGTGAAGGAGATGTTCACATGGTACAGCCAACGGTTGGGGATGGCGATGAAAGACAAAGTGGTGAAGATGGGGATAATCTTGAAGACATGAGTGCGGTTGACTATGTCTCCCCTACGAGCACAGAATGAATACTGCACATGGATGGTTTTTGTTGGGAAGAGTTCTTTCTGCCTGATCGGGGTGCTATCATTTTCTCTTTGTGAACTGGTGATGAGATCAGATGTTGAGTTTGAGTATGTGCTCTGTCTGGAGCTCGTCATGACTGTGACGTCGGTGTCCTACTTGTTCATGAGGAAAATTGTCTCACACTCTACGGGCCCAAGGTGGCGAGTGCGGGTTGAAAAGACCGTCTATCGTAGATCAAAAAAAAACCCTAAACCCTAAACCCTAAACCCTAAACCCTAAACCGAACCCTAAACCGCCTCTGCCAGGTGACAGCTGCGACGAGCCGCGATCTCCATGACCGGCTTTGCTTCAATTCCACGGTGGAGTCTTGGATTTTTTTAGGGTTTAGGGTTTAGGGTTCAGGGTTTAGGGTTTAGGGTTTAGGGTTCAGGGTTTAGGGGGTCTTGGGGTTCAGGGTTTAGGGTTTAGGGTTTAGGGTCCGTGGAGTCTTGGATTTGTTAAAACCCCCTGAAATCCCAAACCCTATAAGCGTGGTTCCCGAATATCCGACCTTTAAAATAAGCTTTTTGGGATTCTTAGAATTTCGTAGTAATCTGAAAGTTTAACCTTTTCTTTCCCTGGGCTTATTGGGGAAGTAAGTAAATCGGTCACTAGGGCGACTCGGAAGTCTCTGATTCCGGCCGTATCACACAGATCAGTCGTCTTGGGATTCAGGTTTAGGGTTTAGGGTTTAGGGTTTAGGGTGTCCTGGGATTAAGGTTTGGCATTTGGGGTTGTTAGAGCTGAACCCTAGACCCTCTAGAGGCTTGGCCCTAATCCCTGACAGACATATGCCCTAAACCCCTGAAACCCCCAACAATAAGCCCTAAACACTAAACCCTAAGCCTGAAGCCCTAAAGCAATTAACCTTAACCCTTACAATACCGACTCTGGAAGCCAGGATGGTCACGCCGACTTCGGCGACTTGCTTTTGACGTCAGCAGAGGCAGCTAGGGGCAGGTTCTTTGGGGTTAAGGTAGGTTTTATGGGCCTTGTTTTTAGTCAGTCACGTCTTGGAATGTAGGGCCAGGGTTGCGGGTGCAGGCCATTTCGAACTTTCGATCTTTCAAACCTGAGCCAAGCCATAGAACTGCTTATCCGGAATGCCACAACCACAAGCCCCAAACCCCTAATGTAGAAGCCGAAATAATTACCGGTATCATTCCTGAGGGTGTATTTTGTTATCAGTATATTATAAAAGGGCCCGAAGTCCTATTCTAATTATCAAGGCCCCTATATCATCCTCGCCAAACTGAGACAGTAAATCCCCACTGATCACAGGTCATCCGATGTGCGATTCAGGCCGGACTCTTGGTAGAAGGACGAGCCAGCAAATCGGGGCTGGTCAAAATTATGGGTTTAGGGTTCAGGGTTTAGTAAATTTGGTGCCTGTATTGCAGTATATTCCGATGCCAAAAGGGGTTTGATCAGCCCCCAAATGACCAAGATCCATCAACTGGAGCGAGTGAATTTTGTTTGAATACATTTGCTTAGGCCTGCTCACCATAAATACAGTATGGTATACCCACAAGCCGCATTCCCATGCTGAAGGTGCCTATATGTCCCGACGAAAGGAAACCCTTGACCGAGGTTGGAGTCCCCTGAAAAGGCCTGGAAATATTGAATCACCATAACTAACCTACTTGCTTGTAGGTTCTTGTTATAAACCGGTATAGCACATATAGAGAGTCTACAAACAAGTAGGTTTTGGTAGTTTAAGGTAGGGTTTGGTGAGGTTGAGTCTCGGAAAGGTCCCGGAGCATGCACGACGCAGAACCGTTGTAGGTTACGGCCGAAGGCATGTTATTTTAGGAGTGGTGAATTCTCTAGTTTTCGCCTATTTCATTATAACGCAAAGTAATGAGGCATTAATGAAATGAGCGAAAATAAGAGGAAACAACACGAACCAGAAACATTGCTAAGTACATGAACTGAAAGCAATCGAAATTAGTGTTACTGCCAGAGGATGGAGACACTGTTTGGAAGCCCCACAGGGGCGGCAAGCAAACTTGGTCTGCTTGTGGGGGCGGTTCAGGACCCCATACTGTTAGCACACTGCTTCGGGAAACAACATCAACCCCCTTTAAATAAAAAACCTAACCCCTTACACCCTAAACCCTA